TTTCCCTTCTCTCTGTTCCGCTGCTGTCTGTCACCTCAAGTGAGTTCAGTAAGTATATCACTCACCGCATGCTTTGTTTGCCCTTCCTTCTCGCTCCTCTGGCAGTGCAGCACTCGTGAGCATGGATGGGTGGAGGCCTTGTTAGGTCTGGGGGAATTTGGGGGTTTTGAAGGCGATAACCAAGCTTTTCCTGTTCCCTTAGCCTGTGTTTCTCTTCCCACGTAGAAATGGGTTGGGGTAGGGCAAGGCTGTTCCCTTTCTGATTGTTGTGTTGGTGAAGTAATTGATTCCTGTTTTCTGTTCGTCAGACATCCTTTCCAGAAGAGTAGGGGGCTTAGTTGGTACAGGAGGATTTAAGATTCTCGTTAATACATGAACTCTGACTTGAGCAGCAGCAGCTCGTTTCATCAGTTGCTGCAGAACATGAACTTTCAGCTGACTCTATTCCTCTTGTAACTGGATTTCTCACTTCAGTTCCAGAAGCTCCCGACAGGCCCACAATCTCCACAGCATCAGAATCCTCTGTCTACGTCACGTGGATACCGCGAGCAAACGGGGGCTCCCCCATTACTGCTTTCAAAGTCGAGTATAAACGCCTGGGTCGGAACAGCGACTGGTTGGTCGCAGCTGATCACATTTCTCCTTCCAAACTCTCCGTGGAAGTTCGTAACTTGGAGCCAGGTATTAAAGCTGATCTTTCCCTTCACCACAGCTGTTGTTGCTGTCGTCTTTGCTTAGGTGACAGAGAACGCTGCAACTCTTAATTAGTTTCATTTTAACTTCTTTTTTCTGGCTGCTTTGGGGTGTTTTTTATGTGGAATACGAGCTCATTACATGAATTCAAGTTGATTTCTGGCTTTCCAAGTGGAAAAAAACCCCACCATAATTTAATACTTGCTCACGTGGAGAGGAGGGCTGTGTATTAAGTGCTATTTTTAACTTAATTGTCCTTCTAGTAAGCACTCAGGATGCAAAAGGAGAAAAATGCATTAAAGGTCTGTCCCGATTTCTCCCG